TTCAGCCCGCCCTCAGGGGGACCTGGGTGGAGGGACTTCGTCAGCGGTGCCCCTGAACACCCCTCGGAGCAGGGCAAGGAGTGGCCGCTGCTCAGGGCTCGCGGGGTGTGCAGGTGCCGACCCACAGAGCGGCTGTGGTAAGTGCAGAAGTGGGGCCCCTCCCTCAGGAGGGGACTGTGTGCCTGGGACCAGCACTGTCCTCCAGCACCCAGGACGGAGCACCCAGGGAGGGGGTGAGGAAGGGTCCCGTGCCTCAGGCAGCTCCTGGCCACATCGGGTCTCGTCAGGGAGGGAGACAGGCTGCGGAAGGGAAGAGCAGGGTGAGCAGAGGGGCAGAGACCTGGAAGCCCAGGGAGGCCTGGACCTGTGTTGGGGGCCTGGCTGAGGGCGGCACGGGGTGGGGGAGGCCAGCAGGAGGGGGGAGGCGGCTGCACCCCCAGGAGAACAGCAGCCCCACGCTCAGGCCTCGAATCCCACACAGGGCTCCAGGGAGTCGGATGGAAAACAGCGTCCTGCCCCTGAGCCCAGGCCCCCTGAGAAGTCTGGGTCTGAGGCTCCTTCCTGGTAACACTCAGCCGCCTCCTTCCGAGGGGAGAGGTTTCAAAGCAGCTGGATGGCCAGAGTCCGCCCTCCTCCCACGCCCTCTCCCCTCTCCCCCAACAGCCCTTCCCAACATTCCTCCAGGATGTCTCTGCCACTCCCCACATTCCAGACTCCCAGCCCTGCCAAAGGCCCACGTTGTGGGGTCGTGCTGCGGCCAGGACCCCCCAGCCCAGGATGCAGTGAGCCCTCCCACCGGGCCTGCGGTCACCAGCGCTGGCCTTCCTCCAGCCGGCTTTCCACCAGGAGGACGTCCGGGTTCTGAAGGCCCTGAGGCTCACCCGGTTAGGGGCCCTCTTTACAAACAAGGAGCTCGGGATGGCAGGTACAGGGTACGTAGGAGGGGCTCACCCTGTGGAGCAATCACAAGAGCTGGGGAGGGGCAGCTCCAGGCCCCGGGAGGCTCCCCCTGACGCTGCTGACCCGGCTCCGTTCCCTGCTCCGTCACAGATCACCCAGGAC